GTCTATGTATCGCTGACCTGTCAATGTACCTTTATTTAGCACAACCAGGTCGGTTCGTCCATCCCAGTTGATGCCTCCCAACACAATAACTGACCCTCCTCCGTAGCGGTCATGCTCAGCAATATTTACCGTCTGAAACCGTCCACCACGTCTTTTCCAGACTCTAGCACTCCTATATGTGAAGTCTATGCAGAACCTGGACTAATCAGTGAACAGAACGTGTCTTTAGTGTTGCACAGTCCACCGTATATGCTTCTTGGTCCATTCAAAACGAGCCTGGCGACGTCGACGCGTCAAGGGGAAACGTATGCAAAGTCTTGTCATCATGCAGCCTTCTACGTACCGTCAGCGTGGAAACCGTCAGCGTCAGCGTCTTCTGTGACAGCTCTTGTTTTTGTATGTCCTAAATATCGCGAATTGAGAACAAAATATTTTCGACAGTATTTTTGTCATTGGCCTTCGATACATAAATTTGACTCAATTATTGGACTCCACAGCTGAAAACTCTATTTGTAATTAATCGAAATACATATCTTTTGCCAATAGAAAAGGAAATTCATAATTTGATTATATACCCCCATATTATACTCTAGTTATTAATTTGAAAACAACAGCTGGCATGATAAAATAAATACATGTACACTGAAATTTATTAAAATGTGAAAAATACTATGTATGCTTAAAGTCAATTTAACTTGTTTTTTTTTTCTTCTGAAAACACGTTTTCATGTACTTGCCACACTTATATATCTTTTTTTTGCTATAAACTTTGTAAAAGGGTTTTATGCACAATAAATTTATGTTATGTAATGTTAAATATAAAATAAAGGGTTAGTAAAACGCAATGACTTTGGTGACGTTAAAAGATGTCGGAGTTTAAAGAATATACAAACTCACAATATTCTTGCGTCAAACATTAAAATTCATACAAAGTCTTGTTGATTCTTTTTAAATTTTCAATGAAATGGATGCGCTAAATGAGCCAGTTATAATGTTTAATCCGACTTTTAATTAATACCTTTCTGATTTTCCGGATGCAATATCATTCATCTTTCAATTTAGTTTTTTGAAAGGGTTTTTGCTTACCATTTTTAAGTTTGTGCATTACATAGACTTATTTTATTGACAGGATAATAGGTTTATAAATTAGTAAATGAACCCTTCTAAACTCGGACACACTATATAACCACTAATTTATTCGAATATACGTGTACTTAATTACCCCCTTTTTACTTAATTATCGCATGGTTTTGGAACTTTTTCTTTGTTCTTACTAGCCCACTATACTAAGTACACTTTCATTGAGGATTTGAAATATGTATTGAAATTAACATGCCAGGGCACAAGGGAGGGGAAAAGCACTGAAGATATCTTTTATTTGCTGATTTTTGTTTCAAAAAATTAACTGCGATTAAAACAGCTATAATATATGAAACACGTTGGTTACGAGGGTATAACACTGGCTCGCGTGACATCTCGGAATGTTTCTGCTAAAAATCGTCTCGGCCTTACGGGCTCGACATTTGTTAATAAGCAGTATCATCCATCGGTATGGCCCCATCCACTGTTATATCCTCGTATCTAACTTGTTTTATTACGTATAACTTCTACATAGTAGCCCTCAAAAATTTTATTTTTCCTAAAGATTTCCACTACATTTTACATAATGTAAATTAGCACCTCCAATCAATACCAAAAATATTCGTTTCCAAAAGGGCATTGCTCTGCTGTATATTGCAATCAAATGCTAAATATAATTTTTAAATAACTTGCAATGCCTATTATTTCATAATTATTTCAAAATGATACCACCGAAAAAATTGTTAACGTTATCGTCGTATTCAATTTTTTGTATACAGTTTGATTAAAAATAATAATAATGAAAAACAAAATAAATTTAAAAACAACGTATTTATGTAAACAATAAAATGGAATTATCCGTTATCAACTTTCATTTGTTGCCATAGTGATGTAGTCGGTAAAGTGGTCTTAATTTGATTTCGCAAGGGTTCCTGTTTGAGACACGAAATCATAATAAATTATCTTTATTATATTTTGAACTTACATACACAATAATTCTTACAAACATACAAACTACTCAACTTCTGCTAAACACCATATGTTTGAGTGTGAATACTTTTTGGGATAATTTTATTAACGCCGTGCGAAAGGTTTTTAATTTTGATTTACTGAATTTTCAATTAGCAGGAGGACGAATTTAACCCTATAAATGAGTTTAAAACTGATTTTGTGCTAAAGAAGAGGATAACCCCCCTCTTTGAAGATTTCAGAACATGCAGCGTGTTTTTAAAATTTGTTGTTTTTTTCTTAACAGTTTTAGACTTAATACGGTATGTGTGACCCGTGACTATCAATGACGGCTTTGTAGCGCCTTCTCACACTCCCTATTATGTTTTTGATCGTTCAAACGGGTATGGCTGCCAATTCTTGGACCAACATGGCTGCAAGCTCCTAGATGGTTCTGGGTTGCCACTGACGAGCTGAAATTCTAACCTGCAGCTCATTCCACATGTGTTTTATTGGATTTTAGTCAGGTGAGTGAGCTGGCCAGTTCATTCGCTCGATAGACACCTTCTAAGGTAGTCCTAGACAGACCGCCCTATGAGGGCGGTCATTATCGTCCATTAGAATGAACTAATTGCCAACTGCTCCAGTATACCCCTTATCTGGTTGTCAAAGATGTCGTCTATGTATCGCTGACCTGTCAATGTACCTCTATTTAGCACAACCAGGTCGGTTCGTCCATCCCAGTTGATGCCTCCCAACACAATAACTGACCCTCCTCCGTAGCGGTCATGCTCAGCAATATTGACCGTCTGAAACCGTCCACCACGTCTTTTCCAGACTCTAGCACTCCTATATGTGAAGTCTATGCAGAACCTGGACTAATCAGTGAACAGAACGTGTCTTTAGTGTTGCACAGTCCACCATTCAAAACGAGCCTGGCGACGTCGACGCGTCAAGGGGAAACGTATGCAAAGTCTTGTCATCATGCAGCCTTCTACGTACCGTCAGCGTGGAAACACGGATCCCACTTCATTAACAATGTCATTTCAAAAATAGCTTTTGCTGACGAAAACCTTGCATGACGTGCCTGAACGACCAAAAACCAATCCTGATCTGGTGTTGTGACCCTTTGCCGGCCCTCAGCATGCCTCCGGGCGGGTGAGACATGTAGTCGGTAACTTTCTCAGGCTCTAGTGATGATGGTATTGTGTACACCATGCGCCTCACCAACCTTGCGGAAGGTTGCCACCGGCTGCACCATCCCTACAGCCCTCCATAACTCTGCCTCTTTGCTTCTCTCAAATGCCGCTTAATGTTAGTAATCGGCATATCAAAGTGACATATGAAATGTAAGCCACTAAATGACAACAAGCCGGTAATGTCGTCGTTTAACGAAAGACATGTGATTGCACACATCATCAAAAAAAACATGAACACATTGGGGTGCATGCTTTCCATGCTACCTAGACGAATTGTAACGGATTAGACAACACGGATTCATGTTAGCGGACTATCTCAAAACCTTGCTGAATCAGATTTTTTTAAAACTGGAAAGAAATCTGTCTTATACTTGTGATAATATAAAAATTTACTTATGGTGCTTAGCAAAACGTTGAGTAATATATAATCTATACTTTGGTGATATTCTATTCATTATAAGATATGTTACTTTTACTTCAATTAGTAAGCAAGAGTGTAGGTGTATAGATAACGAGTTTTTGAGCTTCTAGCTTGAACGAAGTACACGTTCTTAATGACGCTTTGAAATTGTTTAGTGTATATGAAATAGATCGTGCCTATGAAGATGTTGTCAGTGAAAAGCCTGGTTTGTTAAATTCCCTCGCTATACCATAATTGAGATATTGATGAAAGCTGTGTTTAATCCAATATTTAAATATATAAGAAGATAATGCATATTTCGGTTATATATCACATATTTATGCGCAGAAAACGAACTTCTCCTACAACCACATGCAAACATGGATCCTACATGTACCTCTCCAATACTAGGCAACTGCAAAATGCTCCGCTTAAAAACAAACAGTAAAGTATGTCAATAATTAATACAGATTTTTCGCCGAACGCGGTTTCAGATCGCGCGCTATTGAACATTCGGGTTTAAAATAAACAAGAATATCTGTAATTATGTGAAATACGTGAGAAATTAAAACCAGAGCATGAGAGCGTGATTTCTATTTTAAATCTCACTTATTGCGAGAATATTAATTATTGGTATTTAGCTGCAAGAGAAAAGAGAATCTCTGATAGCTGTTAATAAATAAATACGTGTAGACAAGTTTTGAATTAAATGTATGTGCTAATTATATTATATGCTAAATATATTATATATATATTATATGCTAAATATATGTAATTACTACCAGTAAATCATGTTTATGTACAAAACATTGTTGTCGATCATTCATTTTTAAAACATAAATGCTGACTTTATATTTCGTATAAAAAAGTAAAATAAGAAAATAAATAATATTCATTTCGAAAATGACTATCTCAAAATTCTCTTACTAATTGATCTCTTCTTTTCGAAATAATTACATATGATAACATGGAAGTTTATGAAGTATCGAGATATACATAACATGTTGACAAAGCGGCTGCGCCAGCTCTTTCAATTTTTTTCTGATATTCTTTGCAAAATCTATGTTTGTATTTTTTTCCTCTTAGTTGGCTTTTGATTTTTATCTTTCAATATTCAGAATTGTCTTTCAGTGTCTCGAACTATTTATATGTTTTCTTTACCTTAAAGTTAGACAATTTTAATTCATCATTTTTTTGACCTTGTTAGCACTGCGATAACAATATGCTATATTGGAGATATCAGTCAATCAACTTCAGTGGTTACAACTCTAATTAGTAACAAATATAGGCTGACATTCCAAATTCTTACCTTATTAGGTATTCGGTGGGGGTATGAATCACCTTCAGTAATAGCTCTAGATGTGTTCTTTTAGAAAGCATGAAAAACGTGTCAGTAGATGTGGCAAATATTAAGAATGACATGAAGAAGTTAGATGACGTCAAAACCATGAAGGATGATCTTTCAGAACTGTCCAAAAGACTTGCGGATTTGGAAAAACAAATGAAAGAGTTGGATCAGACAACGGAGAACAAAACACGTAAGTCTAATTTATTTTATTTTTATCATGTTAATTGTTCTGCTAAATCAATTAATAATGTTTCCAAACTTTTAAAGTAAATCAAATATGCATATTATAAATAGCTCCATGATATTGAATAGCGAATAAATATAAATAAGTTTGAACAAATTCGTTTTCGCTCGATTGCGACGAAAGATTAAAATTTCTTTGAATCACTAAAAAGTGTCGGTATAATATGAGGAAACATGGTCTTGACTCTTGTGTGGCACGATACCTCGATCTTTGTGTTTACAGGCAGAGATCTTCATCATAAGGCCATCTGCTCTTCTATATCTCAATATTTAGTTAAAGTCTTATTATCACCGCTGATTCGTGGGGTAGCCATTCAGCTAGTCGACTAAAGATCGGTGGTTCTACTCATGTCTCCACTCGTTCCTAAAATAATGCAGAAGGCGCACATGAGGCCTTCCTTCCGAAGAAAAAGTAGAAAATTCCCGTATGACCTTTGCAGTGTCCGTGTGACTAAATAGTTAACAGACCAAACAAACAATGTTGAAATGACGAATAAAATGATTTGTGAAATTTCCAGTTGTCTCTTCAAATAATGCAAAAGTTTTTCTTTAAAATTTCATTGCCTAATCTAAAGTGATTTTTGCCTTGAATACATCTGATAAACAAATACTCATCAAGTATTATAAGTATACAACTACTCAAGCCCGTGATATTTTTATTTTTCCTTCCCAAATAATTCACAGGTACTAGTATACTAGCAATATTTATTTTTATTAGTTATTAATTTTTATAATTTTTTTAGTTGATTTTTGTTGTTGTTGTTGTTGTTTTTTTTTGTTTTTGTTTTTTTTTTGACAAGGTCTTCTTACACTGCAAATACAAACCATTGTCCAAGTTTCCCCTCAATAGCAGAACATTTATTTAGTTTTAGGGTTTATAAGTCACAACATCAACACAAAAGACACAACCAATGTCTAGAATAGACCTTATGATTTCTCTTCTGTTTTGTCAGAACAACTTTATTTTACACTAAAAATCATTTTCAAATGAAATAAAACATTTGATTATGCAGATTTATGTGTAAAACTATCTGTTTTATATCTCTGGCACTTAATGAAATTCAGCATTGTTAAAAATGAATTTATTTGACAGTTTTATAATCCAACTTCGTTGTTACGTCGCATATATCACACAACGAAAAATGTAATTTTATCAGTTCATCACCATTATAATTATCAGTACATAATCACCATCATATTCATATCCGTCGTCATCATCAACAAAAATCATTATTATCATCAACATCATCATTCGTATATCATCAGTATACATTAGCATCACTATCAGAATATAAGCAGCAGCATCTACAACAACAATACACCATTTTCATCACAAATCTATCCCTTCGGGAACTATATGCGGCGTAACACAGTATGAATTGCTTATTTGAATTCTATGCTTTGGTAATATTTCTAAAGCGCGTTAATCGCTATTTTTATAGTTATTAAATTGTTGTTGTGACTTATGTAGTATATTTGTATATTTTTAGAGACTATAGCATTCAATGTGATGGATGCAGTAAACTACACGGGTAATGTCATAAAATTCTCCACAATTATACTAAACGAAGGCGACGCCTACAACATAGACACGGGGATTTTCAAAGCACCAACTGACGGGATTTATCAGTTTAATGCACATATTTGCGGCAATAAAACTGTAGGATCAATAGAGTATCACATAATGGTTGGCAGTATCAAGATAGTTACCGGAGAATTTATTCTGCCAAATAGAGCTACAGATACAAAATGTACGTCTTTTAGTGCAGTAGCATTAGTTCGAAAAGGCGAAAATGTTGGTGTTGGGGGAATGTCGTCTTTCTCTAGTTTAGATCAAAGATATCATGATGACGTATCATCTTTCTCTGGTATATTGATTCGCACAATATAGGGTAAAATTCATGAACAATGCATTTGGCTTACAAACATCATTAAATATTAACATGTAATGCCTCTTTTTGCAGCTTATCCTTAACCTTCGGTAGGGAGTGGGTTGTCCGCCGTCCATCCGGTAACAGCATTCGTCTTCTTCTCCGACATTATAATTCGATTTATTTTAAATTAGTTTTTCAGGTTCTTTGTATCACACAAACACGCACGCACACACACACACTGTGGTTTGCTGATGTAATAGGTCTCTGCTAGATGTCACTGGATGTCAAAATATAAACAAAAAGCTTTTAAACATATTCTGTCAGGATGATCAAGTTTGCTAAAATAATTTTGCGTACCTCTTTTAAGGTTTAAATTTAAGGACATACTAAAGCTTAAAATATAACTATCTATGCGTATATTCTACTCAGGAACCAACGAATCTTTTGCTATAGCATTTTGAAATATTCTTATGAAGTAAGAAGTATGAATAATTAATATGAAGTAAGTCATCCCTTTCTTTAAAAATATAAATAAGTAATATGAAGTAAGTCATCCCTTTCTTATGGGCAAGTAGAACATTATATGGAAATATGGCGAGGTCTTCTCTATTAATACTGGTCAGGGTTACTTCTAATTTATTTGCAGCTTTATCGTGACAGCCATACTGCAATCCATTTATATTTACAAGAACACCAAAGTTTTATCGCATTGTAAGGCCTCCGGTCTAAAGTACATTCAAAATGGCATCAACTGTAGTTATGGTGTATATAGAACAGTGTATTTAGATGCGCTTTAATAGATAAGATAATGGTATTGACAGGTAGCACACAGGATTAATAGCTCAAGGATTCTGAAGAGTTTTCGAACATCATTAAAATATTCTGGTATGCACAATTCCTTAATCTTTGTGAAAATATTCGTAGAAATACCGTTTGGTTGTCTACTTCGTTGGCTATCCAAACATAGCTATATCCGTATTTATAAAATAAAGGGTTTACATGTGTTACCCATGTGACACGACATGTCAGGTCTAAACGTTTTAACTTATAGAGAATCTCTCTGTAGACATACATGTTTACTTGCTCAAATACTGATACACCTTGCCATTACTTCACAAGAGTGGCTTCTACCACATTTACTGAAGGCAAAAAAAATATTGATTCATACATGCTACACGTTTACAAAAACGAGCATGTATCTATCTGTCGATAATTGGACAAATTTTGTATTCTCATATTTCTGCTGGGCAAGTCAATATTGTTGCAATTGTGTAGTCAAATAACTTGAATAGTTCTTTGTGATATAGGTGACTGAAATAACGTTTATCGCTTTGTTTGCTTGTAAAACCAAACATCTTGGGTGTTAGTCCAAAATCACGTCGGAGTAAAGAATGACCCAACAATTCTTTTAGCACGAAACAACCTCAATTTTTCCCCTTGGTTTGTCCATTTTTTATTTTGTCTTTTAGAAGTATCCATCTTTCCGAAACAACATGATCTTAGATTTGTCTTGATTGATTTTAAATCCTGTTGTTTGTTTTGTTGTTGTTTATTTCTCTCTCTCACAAAAATCACCTTTTTCAGTTATCTGAGTTTGTAGTTTAGCTCGAGGATATATCGTCTGCAAACATAAAGGCAATTTATAAGGAATATCGTTTGTAATAAAAATAATCACCAAAAAGCCATTTTTTTTCAGACAAGTTTCTAAATCGTTTGTACGTATAAAGCAAGAATATAAATGTAGTTGTACATTTATATAAGTGACACAGCCCTGCTTATTTCGGTTCAATTTCGCATGGAAAGAAATACGTTATACCGGTACCTTAAAACACGATTGTAGCTGACTGAACATGGATTTAAAAATTAATAATAGCTTGCTGTTTTCCTTCATACCCTTACGTCTCAAGCTGTTCCATAGCTGAGCATGAATCGAAGGCTTTCATGATATCGATAAAAATACATATGCACGTCCTTTCTTTTTAGACAAGTATTTTGCACTATAGCTTGTGAGTTAAAAACGTCATCAACGGTGAAATACCCACGTCTAAATATTGCTTCCTATTCGTCAATGACACTTTTTGCTTCTGTCAAAATAATATGGATTGAAAGTACTTCTTGCACGTGGCTTAAGATATCAACAATGACAGAGAGCATTATTGGCAAAGCATTTACTTGACATAGGTACTTAAAGTGGATTACATGTGCAATATGATAAATTTATTCACTTGAAAAAATATTTCTTAATTGGAAAATTTGTAAATTTTTATAAAATTGCATGAACCTACAGGCGTAACACATAATATTACCGGATCATTTCAACTACGAAAATGTACAGTTGTAATAGTTTATGTCACAAACATGTATATGCAATGATTGTTTTTGACTTTTGGCTACTTTTTTCAATAAAATAGATTTTCAAACATTGTGTTCCTTTACTGATACTTACATTTATTCCTTTACTGGTACTTTGACAGCAGTACAGTCTGGTCAGCGTGCATGAAAAGCGAGACTGATGTTTTTACTGATATTTTACTGTATACCTTTTTATAAATGATCTTCAGAGACTGTCTGCATAGACTTACATAGGTTTAATGAGAAATTAAATATATTTAACTAGATTTATCAAAACTCGAGACTGCACGTTTTATTTATTTCAAAATTTTTAGATTTACTCACAAAATCAGAATTTCCAGTATCAAGATTTCCAGTATGACAGTGTTTTCGCTGTTTTGCCAGTATTTTTCCGTTCTCATAAGATAAATTGTCATGCACGTGTAAGATAGTCAGGAAAATACCCTAACTTGCGTGATAGTTTCAGTAGTTTTGTCTTTCATGAATGTGTTTTAATGAATAAAATCGTTTAAATACTTAAAGAACATTTGTATAAAATAAACATCATTGTCGAGATGTTGTCAACTTTCCTTAAATTACGGATGTTCTGCTTCCAAAAGGGGCGATGTAAGTAATCTTAATAGTTTTGAAAGTGTTTCACATGAAATAATTTAACAAATAAAAAAGTCTATGTATTTCATGAACAGTTTACTGAACATCAGAACATACACCCTGACAATGTCAATGGTCATTTAAACCTAATTTGTCTACACTGGTATATCTCATGACTGTCAGAAACTTCCAGGCAATGCCTTCTTCTATTAAAAATGGTACTGCCGTAAATCAAACTTCACTTTAGTTTTAACGCACCTCTGAACAAACCATTGTTTCTTAACACTTTGTTCAAAATGGCGAATTTTTGATATCTATTTTCAAAAAATATTTTATCTATACAATTCTACTCGCATGTCAGTTAATATCAACTGAAGAAGTGCCCGTAGAACCCGTTTGTTCTAAAGTTCCATATGACGAACATTTACTGGAGAAAATTGTGTGCGAAAAATGTGAAGAAAGATCCATAAAAACAAGTTTTACTAATGTTATGGCTATAATAAATGACATTCAAGGCAATAATAGCTATAGCGAATTATGAAACAAATTGTCAGAAGTAGACAATTTAGAAAGACTGACGGATATTTTAAACAATGGCGAACAAAATTGTCGTGTCTAAGACGGTAAACGGAAAAAGGGATCGAGTAAGCGTACACTTTGCATATTTAGCCCCGCCTATAAATAAAGCACGAATTTCTTATAAAGCGTTATCATCATGATTAAAATAGACTATAAATCTGTGGGAAATGATCAGTGTTACTGTATGTAAGTGCATATGCTTAATCCCCTAATAAATATACACGAATGTCTTATAAAAATGGAAAAAGGCTTTAAAGTGTTAAGTCGTGCAATAATGGTGCTTTCATTCATAATGCCAAATTGATTTAATCAGCATATGAACCTATGTGAGGATATCAAGTTAGATGACTAAAGGATCATCTGAATATACATACAATGTATAGTTTTGTTTATATGAAAAATATATTAGGAATCATATTATAAGAGACCAAGTTTATACTATATAGTTTTCATTGAACAGATACAAAACGCGATCACGTAAGATGACCATGTACATTATACTATACTTTTCATTTGAACAGATATCAGCGGGTCACGTACTTGATGACCAGGGGATCATCTACTTGTACACATAAAATAATTTTCATTGAACTGATATCATTGGATCACGTAGGTGACCCCAGGCGATCATCTAGATATACACGTCCTCTTTCTTATTATGGAAGGGATATAAGGGGATAACGTAAGATGACCAGGGGATCATCTAATTTTACATATGCTATAGTTTTTATTGATCAGAAATAAGGGGATCACGTAAGATGACCAGGGGATCGTCTAGATGTGCCAATACAGTATAAGATTCATTGAACAGATATCAGGGGATCACGTAAGATGACCAGGGGATCATTTAGATGTACATATACTATAGTATTCATTGAGCAGATATCAGGGATCTCGTAAGATGACAAGGGGGTCATCTAAGATT